CACCCCCCCCCCCCCCCGGTGTTTGCCATCGGGGTTGGGTTTTCGTCGTTTGGCAACGAAGTTGTAAAACAAGCCCCCCCTCGGTGTTTGCAATCGGGATTGAGTTTTCGTCGCTTGACAACGACGTTGTGAAAAAGCCAGTTCACTTCGTTAACTCGGTGAAGGCCACCCTGACTCTCGAAATCATGGGTTCGAGTCCCTGTGGAGGGTCTTTTTTTCCCAAGACATTTTCTTTCTCCATCACATTGATTGGCGCCCCCCACACCTCAATATATTGTAATACTGCCGTGTAGTAAACGGGCCAATGGTAGCAACGCACGAGCCTACTGCAGGTACGTTTTTCAACAAAAAAAATTCCACCTCCCGATCTAGTAATGCTTATTTTTTCGGCCGAGCATGTATTATCATGTGCGTACAGCAGCGAATTATGCACGCAGTTATGCTCGCCTTCCAGTTTTTATGCGTAAACTAATGCACGGTTGTTCTTGCCGACGGAGTCGATAAATACGGCATTTTTAGGGTCAATGCGCGACGTGCGCACGTGCCCCTGTCTTTGCCGACACAGTTAAACACTTGCGGTAACGTTGATTTTGATTCTGTGTTCTGTGCTCTGTGCTCCTCTGATTCCTTCGCACGAAACAAGTCAAGTGTGCCACTCAAAAAGCAACACATAGACGAACGAACACGAGAACACCAGCCACAATCATGGCTACACCACTCCCCAGCTCCCAGCACGCCCTTTTTGCCCCATTCCCCTGTTTCTATTTTCCTCTGCCTCTGTTGTACTTGAGAAGTGCGGACGCAGCCACGCGGTCGCTAAAACTATCCTCCTGCCTTGCATCCATACAAACAAGCGCGAAGGATGGAAAAAACACGTTCCATGAAGGCAGAGGACGGTTGGAGCAAAGCGATGTTTTCGCAACTTGATACCATTGAGAAAGGTTTCTCTTGTGCCTATTATAATGCCAGAATGCCCACAAGTCGTAGCCGCAGCTACTTCAGCGACAGCGATATTATAGTCAACCATCTGATCTTTTAGTCTCGCGACGACATCTTCCGAAACGGAGGGGAAGCGATCGCGGAGGTCGATGTCAGCATTATTCAAGTGATGATAGTGCTTCACATAGCGGAAGTCGAAGAGCCGCGCAGCCTGGAAGAGGGCGATACTCTCGCGTTGCTCCGCCTTGGGATGGTCCCCGATCCTCTTCCAGGTGTACGTCTGCACGGGGAGCATGTCTACCCCGGTGCAGCTGTTCAGCTGTTCTGCTGTTGTTCTCTTGGCCCTTGGCGCGGAAAAAAAAGTCAACCCCCCGAATAGCTACCCCCAACCCCAACTCCCCCCCGCAGGTCCGCTGTCTTCACTAAATGAAGTTCCACCATGGATGGTGTTTAGAGTTGATGTCCCTAATAAGCCCCACGTAAGCCACCCTGTGCGGAAAAGCTGGTACTTCGTTGAAGGTTGAACTAGAGTACAATCGAGGTATTGAACGAAAGACAACATCATCAATCAATATCTGAGTGTAGAATTTTTTTTTTTGAAAACAAATGAGTTTGTGTGCTGTTAGAGTTAGTACAATACATGGCTCTTCGAAGCTGACAAAACGGAAAATACCACCCCCGCCAATTAAGCCCCACTTTGCGTTAGAACCACATTGTGCACGTTAAATAACGTTTCAGGACATGATACTTGGTGTCATGGTCAATCACCTTATGAATATGAGTCGTATCAGAAAAAAAAAAATGTATGCGGGAATGAAATTGGCGTATCCCCGGGTTTTGAACCAACTTATTGGACGGAAAAACACCCCACGTATCGCTTGCTGAGGGGCCCCGTGACCATGAATCGGGGTAGGGCCAAAAAATTGTTCAGGATTGAGTTGGTACTGGTTAACAACGAATTCACAAAAAAATCGCGACATGAAACGGTAGTTTGCACGCCATTTTGATCGGTAATTCGCGGGTGCATTTACCGGTGTTCGCGTCCGTCTACGGCAACCCCCAGTCCCGATATGCACGACGCTGCATCT